TGCATCTTCCGTTGAGGCACGAGCGCCAAACCACACAGCTCACCGTCTTCTTTTGTGAGCCACCAGACGGAAAGAAGTACCTGGGAAAAATCTTTGACAGACTAGTCCTTTTAGCATAATCTATCCTGAAAAATCCCTCCTGTAACTCTTGCTTTCCCTTAAGCAAGTGAACAGAACATAACCACAGCTGCCAAAGCCTTTGGCAAGTCTCATTTCTCTGCAGTCAGGGATTTACAACCCAATAGCATCTTACACACTCGGGCATTTTTTCAGGCTTCTCCTCCAGCCTTAACCTCACCAGAAAATGCAGCAAACCCATTTCTTCCACAGAAGAAATTACCAGATCTTGCAGAGCTCCAAAGCTCCTCTGGCTGGCTCCAAAACTAAATATTGTTATCTTTTTTTTATTTTTTTTTTTTTTTTTAGTATCTTTTATATCTTCAGATAATTTGCTACACATAGAAATAAGGAGAATCTGCGCTGGAAATCCAAATCAAACATCCTCCGCCACACAAATAAATATTTAGGCTGCAACCACAAAGTTAGTCCTTCTAGCTTTTTGATCGAGTCTGAAAGTTATTCCTGAGTATTGCCGCATTTAAGGCTGATGGGAGACAAAATCAGCAACGAAGATTGCTGGAAATATTTTAAGCAGTGGCAACAAGGTCAAGCCCAACCCAACCATGGAATCTTGAGCTTAGAAATAAATCTGCACCAGGTTTGGCAACCCAGAGCTGAGACACCTCAACTTCCACAACACCCTGCACGTTTCACAGCGCGGGCACCTCATCGAATTGCATTTTCAAACCTTTGAGTTACCAAATCCTAAGGCGAATGAAGGACGTTTACTCACACAGGTTACTTTCCGGTAAATTTGAGCAGCATTCTGGCATTCTGAGTAAGGGTATTCTGAGGTAGCCATTTCCAACATGCACATTCCAAAAGCATAGACATCCACAGATTCATCGTAGTGTTCCTCGTACATTTCAGGGGCCATAAATTCTGGAGTACCTACGCAGAAAAAAGAATGTCATTTTTTGATAAAGTAAACATGGCTTTCACCACAATGGGTTTTCTTTCACCTGTAAGAGGTGTGCCCATTATAAAAGTGTAAGGGTGCATGCAAGATTGTTTCAAAAGAAGGAGCTAGAATAAGCTCAAAGCATCCTCCAGGGAAGAAACCCAACACGCACACTTAGCCACAAAATTTTCAAAAACTAAGAAGAGACTGTATGGCACATTGCCCGACCATACTGCAAGTCATGAAATGGTTCCTTTTTCTGGGTGGAGAGAGGGATGTGTACAGGCTTGTGGGGGTGAAAAGGAGAGAAGAAACGAGAACCTCCAGTCTTGTTTTTTATCAATGTAAATTTGCCTTTTTTTTTTTTTTCTCCTACTGAGATACATAGCAACCACCCGGCAGACAGACAGCACTTGGAAAGCAAGTAGTATCACAAATCACCTACAAAGTCACGCACAAAACATTAAACCTAATTCTGTCACTGGTTTAGTGGGACAAATCAATGAGGCTACTCACGGAGTAAGGTCCCACTCGGCACGGATTAGGGTGGCAGAAATGTGATGCAAGTGGATAAATATTAAGTGAGGCACCGTACTTACTGCTTCAGAGCGGGAAGCTGCAGCTTTATGACAAGCAGCGACTTACAACGCCTGCAACGTTTGCACAGCAAACTACTCTGAAAAGTGTGGTCTTACAAAGCAAAAGGGGAAAAAAACAAAAAAAATAACACTTAGGTCATTTAATCCAGGAACTGAACCTCGGAACGTAGCTCATCCTTAGGCGTCAAGACTCATTTATCTCCTTTTTACATTTAGAAAAAGATGAGGGAAAGGAGATCCACACAGTCGTGTGTCGCAGGAGAGGATCAGGGCGCCGCGAGCAGAGAGATGCCAAAAGGAGCGTGAGAGGTCTCAGACCACATGAAGAACCCGGCCGATTTCCGCCGGCCGGCCCAGCTGCCGACCTCTCCCCCCCAGCCCCAGGGCAGGCTTGGTTTTGTTTTTGTTCACATGAGCAGAAAAAGTAATTGAAGTAACATATATCGGAGTAAAAATAAGTGTTTGGGGACTTGATTTCTTTTACTGAATAAATGACGTCTCCCAAAATTAGGGCCTGTCAGTAAAAACTCTGCTTCTGCCGAGCTCACAAAACAAGCCTCAGCAGGAGCGTTTCTGTAAAATTCATTTTGCAAAACTCGGGATCCATCTCACCCCTCATTTATGCTCCTTCCACCTCAAAGGCGCTCATTCCTTCAGCCTTTGCAAATCAGCCGGACCCACGTCACGAAAGCTTAACGTAGCACGTGGCTCATAGGGTTTTTCTCCCAGCTGCCACTGTTGTGACACACTTAACTGCCACAGAGAACGTTTTCTTGGAGCTGCTACCTCGTTTTAGAAGGGACAAGACTCAGAGGTAGGAGTGAATCTCATGAACTGCAGCGCATTTAAAAGCAAATCTGAAAAAGCAACGACAATCCTCTAAGAAGCAAATGGAATTCTTGACACCATTCTAGGAAAATGACATTTCCCCCCCCATCCCTTGCGGGTGGGAAGGAACACGATCAAGTCTCCTTGAACAAAACGCACCACCTAAACGTAAAGCCGCTCAGCATCTACTCAGCTTCTCCTGGCAAAGGAGTTTTGCCCTGGCTCGGCTCCCCGCAGAGATACACCGCAAGGTCAGGCGAGCATTAGCGATGGCACGAAGGCAGCAAGGGAACAACCGGCCCTCAGCCACGCTGACTTCATTCCGCTCAAGCCGATGGAAAACTGCAGCTACTGATATTCCTTTAAAGCTCCTACATCTACAGAGGGGGCAGAATTACTCATCTCACCAGCATTTCCAAGCCTTCCTAATTCTCTCCTTGGAGTGGCACTGCTCAGGATAAAAGATAAGCTTGGTTTTACGGCCAAAATAAATGCCCACAACCCGCAGCTCTTTTCAGTACATGAGCATCCTTTGACAGGGCTGTGGTAACACTGATTTTACCACAACTCACAATGCTATTACTGATATTATGCCATTATGTCCCGTGGACAACTGTTACACTGCAAAAAGAAATACTGTCCCTCGACAGTAATTATTAGAACTTAAAAACTAGAGAAACTTAATCCATATAAACCAACATGATTTCACTAAAATCAATGAGATTATTAAGCAGACCCACAGTAGCCAAGTATATATCTGAAATTTCTGTCCTTTTGACTTCAATGATACCAGGCTCCCTAAGTGTTAAGGTTGATATTTTTGTACAAGTAATTGTAAAGAATTGCAATCTCTGAAAATCTGAGATGCTAAAGTAATTATTTAAGCAACTACTGCTTGGAAGTTAGGATGCTATTTTCATATATAGCAAGGCAACAGTCGTTGTCACTATCAGTCTACTAACTCTAATTACCTAGAACCCAATTGCCATTTATATTATAAGCTGAAATAAAACTACATGCATGGTAACTTCCTTCAGTTTCAGCATTGTTTCTCCAGAATTATGGGTACCAAGTAATATTTCAATTAAAAAAAAAAGAAACAACATCTAAAAAGTGTTTCACCATGGTGATACAGAAAGAAGGAGAAGAGGAAGTCAAGAGACCATTTCCTCCTGATGGAGATTTGTATAGTGGCATAAAGTCACAAAACCACTTTCATCTCTACCAGCAACCTACAAGTGAAAAAAGCCACTGATGCAAAACGTGAAAGAAAGATAATAAAAAGACAAGCACCACACCAACAGAAGGAAGTCGAGGAGAACAGGCAGATTACCTATTACACTTTTGGCAAATGAAGCTCTCTTGAGGGTTGCCAGACCCAAGTCTCCTATTTTCACAGATCCAGTTGGTCCAGTAATGAAAATATTGTCACATTTTAAGTCTCTGTGAATTATCGGTGGAGTTCTTGTGTGCAAGAAAAGAAGACCCTTCAGGATTTGCCGGCACCAACTACGCAGGACTTTTGGCTTCATCACTTTAAATCTCTTCAGATACCTAGAACACAAACATTCACAGAAATGGGTACAAAGAAAATGAAGCGTTACTACAGATTTTAGGGGCTTTAATATCTGAAACTCCATTCTGGATAAAAGCCCCTTATTGCACGCCGTAATAGCGGCTCAGAAATATCACAAAATTGAAAGAAACACATATTTTTCAGTGGAGGAATTGGAGAATTCATTTTCAGGGAGAAAGATAATAAGCACTTTTGGTGCAAATAGAACCAAATATTTGCTAGTCTAACAGTACAGCAATTCACTTCACGCAGGAGAACAGCTTTAGACTATGTTCCACATACTCAAATTAGAAGAATACCAAAGTTTCATTTTAACCACAAGACTTTGAGCTCTCCATCACGCACCTGCATTTTTTTCCATTTATCTAAAACTCTGCTGGGGAGGGAACATTTTGGGAAAAGCGTAGAATCTGCTGGTGCACTGGCAGAGTAGCTTGCTGGATCTACACAGCGATGAGTCCTGCTCCCATTGGGGCTGAAAATCTGTTCTGTGACTCACGCCAACTGTTTTACATCAGCCTTAAGAAGATTGTCAGCACCCAAAGCTATTAATTAATATTGTTTAGTAGATAACCTGGAGCACCTTCTGCTTCAGAAAGAGACTCTACCACTCAAGTGCTACTCCATCTGAATTTCCTAGCAGAACATGCAAATGCAAGCCCAAAAGCAATCACAAAAGCACACCCTGACAAATTGAAACGTCGCAGGCAGAAGATGAGACACACAGAGAACAGCTTCTAGTTGCGTAACTGAAGCAGGAGAGCAGTGAAAGAGAGACGGAGGCCGAAATTCTTCCTGTCAGCTCAAAGCAGTTCAAATGCAGGGACAAATGACAGACACCAGAGAACAGCGTTGTGGGTTGTTTTTTTTTTTCCTCTTTCATCCGGAGATGCCTTTTTTTCAGAACATGAAAGTAGGATTTTTCTAAAAATTTCCATCGCTATTCTTAGCCTCCGTCACCAGGAGCACAGTACTTACGTCTTTAGCGTTCCAGAGGTCATCAATTCGGTAACCAGCACGATGCATCTTTTGCCTTTTACACAGGATTCCCAGAAGTCATAAAACCTCACAATGTTGGGATGCTGTAGACCTTTCAACATTTCTGCTTCCTCTTTAAATCTCTGCCTCTCTACTTTTGTGAGTTTTCTGTCCTATGACCCAAAACGAGACATTATTAGTCGTGAACGGACAAAAATAAAACAAAGCCACCACACTGCTAGGGCATGCAGCATTTTAGACTTGTTTTATGCTTCCATCAAGAGCAATTATAAAATCTTTTACGTAAGAGATGAGCAGCGGGCATGAACTAGGGCACTCGCCTTAAATCCAGTGTCAAGAAGACAAAGACTCGCCTCCAAACAAAGAGATGTCTGTGCCACACGATGCTACATGACAGCATTAATATTTCAGGCAACATCAACACACCCGTGGCTCGACGGATCGACACGCAGCTATTTCCTTCTCGTTTGGGTTTCGCGAGGCTTGGAATCTGACAGATCAGCACACGCTGGATTTGGTTTCCAGGTGCCACCGTCCTCACAGCGAAGCGGCCGCTGTCTTTTATGGCTGCGGCTGCTCCTGGCACCAGCTGAGATCTCCCCACGACCACGCTGGACTGTACAGCCCACCCCGTTGCTTTAGGGATGAAATAAAATAACAGTCCCCTCCAAAAAAACACAAAAAAAAATCAAGAAAACCGAAACAAAAAAAAAACCCACAACCCTCCAATACTTTCTTTTTTTTTCCCCTATTTGTTTGCTGCTCTAATTTTACACACTTTTAAGTTGACAAGGGAAGGATTTGAAAACATCCTTCAGCCTTTCCTGCAGGCTTGCCACTGGCCACGTGGCAACATCTATTCTTTTTGATGTTATATTGTACTATTCTGCATTTCCTGGAGAAATTGAGGAACATTTAAGATAGATTCCAGGCTGCGAGGTGACCCTGTGAGGAGCACGCAGAGCCTGTCCTCTCTGTCAGCAGAACCTCGTTGGGCTGCTCGGCCCTCATTAGAAACACAGACTTTCCCATCTAAAGTGAGGAAAAAGTGACAGTACGAGGGGAAACAGCCTCAAGTTGTGCCAGGGGAGGTTTAGATTGGACATAAGGAAAAAATTCTTCACTGAAAGGGCTGTGGTGCTCAGGGACACGGGTCAGTGGTGGGGCTGGCACTGCTGGGTTAGCGGTTGGACTCGATGAGCTGAAAAGTCTTTGCCAACCTAAACGATTCTACGATTCTGTTGAGACCCCTACAGCAAGCAGCTCGGATGCTGTAAGAGAGCAAAACGGGAGTTTCACTGAAAACCACCCCGTCACTGTTTGTCTTCCCTGGGTGGTTGGTTGGGCAGCACTTCCCTCCACTGCCCTAGAAATTCAGCTTTTTTTTTTTGGTTCTTTAAAAGGCACAATTGTGTAACTGTTCTTACTTAGAGAAGCAAAGGCTCACCAATCACTACAGATTAATTAGTTCATATTTTAACCTCAGACAATCCTCCTTTTCTCGGTTCGTTTAGGCATGTTTATAACTTATAGTGAATCAAACTGGCACTCGGCTGATTTGTAAGCAACATGTGGAGGGACGAGAACGCTGTCTTTTTGGTAGCCAGCCCTCATCTGCGATCCCAAAGAACTCGACACGAGAATGAGAATTTCCACGGATACCAACAGGTCAGCTTCACCCAGGCTTCACAAGAGGAAAACCCGGGTTGAAACGTCACCGCGTTGGCTCTTTTCGAAAGACAGAAAACCTCAGGGGGAGCATTTCCATTTTACGTCGTGGTCACTGAGGAGCTTCTCAGTTTCCTTTACATTTTATAGAGCAACATCAGAGCTGACGCTGCCCCCAGCAGCAGAGCAGCCGCCTGGGCTGGCACAGTGGGATGCCGGGAGCAAGGTGGCATTGCGGCTGCTCGGTAGCCTTGGCTTTATTAACCCCCCTCAAAAAAGGGCAAAATTTTTAAAAAAAAAGCAAAAAAAAAGGCGAAAAAAGGAAAAGAAGGGAAAAAAGGAAAAAAGGCAAAAAAAGCAAAAAGCAAAAAAAAGGAGGAAGGAGGAAGGAGGAAGAAAGAAAAAGAAAAAGAAAAAGAAAAAGAAAAAGAAAAAGAAAAAGAAAAAGAAAAAGAAAAAGAAAAAGAAAAAGAAAAAGAAAAAGAAAAAGAAAAAGAAAAAGAAAAAGAAAAAGAAAAAGAAAAAGAAAAAGAAAAAGAAAAAGAAAAAGAAAAAGAAAAAGAAAAAGAAAAAGAAAAAGAGGAGGAAGGAGGAAGGAAAAAAGAAAAAGAAAAAGAAAAAGAAAAAGAAAAAGAAAAAGAAAAAGAAAAAGAAAAAGAAAAAGAAAAAGAAAAAGAAAAAGAAAAAGAAAAAGAAAAAGAAAAAGAAAAAAGAAAAAAGAAGAAAAAAGAAGAAAAAAGAAGAAAAAAGAAGAAAAGAAAAAAGAAAAAAGAAGAAAAAAGAAGAAAAAAGAAAAAGAAGAAAAAAGAAAAAAGAAAAAAGGAAAAAAAGGAAAAAAAAAAGGCTCTTTAATGAGCCAGGACAGAGGAGCCTGAGAATTGCTTTCAAATCCATCACTTCTTCCCCTACTGCTGGGTTTGCCCTTAATTTAAACGCTGCAGAATAAATCAGACGCGCTGCTATATTAAGGAGGAAAAGGAGCGAGTCCTTGGGTGAGACAGGAAGAGCAGAGTGTGGGCTAGCGGAAAAAGGAAAAGGCAGTGACACAGACCCTGCAGTCTAAAAAAAACCTTCTAATTACAGTAATATAAAATAAAAAACCCCCCGGAAAGAGTAACACCATACCCTTTAACTCTCATTCCCAGATTTCTAAGCACTGTGAGAAATTTTCCACCGTTACTTTAAGGGTACCTTTAAAATACACCCCTCAGCCATTGCAGACCATCATATTCTGTGTATTACAAGGAGCATCACATCATCTGGGCTGCTGCCCGAATTCAAAGTACTAAGACAGCAAAAGCTGGGCAACAGCAACAAAGCTGGAAGACAATTATGTGTTTTATCTATAAGCTCAGCAGAAAGAATCCGGATTTTTCTTTTGCAGCATGACGGCTGAGCATCTATCTTTCTGAGGAGAAAGCCCGCGTGCAGCATCGACACTTGAAAGGAGAGGCAAGGGCAGGGCTTGGGGTAGGGCAGCTGCCCTCAAATGTTGTGTTCCCCCCCACGGGAAGGGTTTCCAGGGCTGTGAGGGCTCAGCCGACCTCTCCTACATTCCCCCAGGCTGAACCTGACACGAGTCACGAGTGGCCACATTGGCCAAAGCACAAGCTCTTTCTGAAAGGGCTTAACGGTTGAACTGTTTTCTACTCAGAGGCAGCAAAACCACCCGTTTAATTGCGTGACTCACTCGGGGTTTAATCTAAACCTTCGTGGGGGTCACAGACATTTATTCCCCATCATAGAGTGCCCACAAGGCAAAATGTCTTTACATTGAAGGTAAGGGCGTACGGCTGAAACAGCCTCAGGACATCAAATTTTAGGGGGCCGGTTAGCTCAGTGGTTTGAGCGCGGTGCTGACAACAAGGACCAACACCGAAGTCGCGGGTTCAATTCCCGCTCGGTCCCCATGTGTTGCCTGATCTAGTCGAGAGGCGTCCCTGCCCATGACAGGGAGGTTGGACTAGATGATCTCTAAGGTCCCTTCCAGCCTAGGCCAGTCTAGGATTCCATGATTCCATGATTCAATAAAGATGGGGAGCAGGATTCTTTGGAAAGGTCACGCCAGAGGAAGCTAATCCACTTAACTAGATGTAAGGCATCACTTTGCATAATCCAAATTTCTCAAAATATGGGGGAACGAAGCAAGTTTCCAGGTTGACCCACAGAGTCATCATCCATCCATGCTATCTGCAGCAGCAGATGTTTACAACCCTGTACAATCAAACAAGAAGCCTTAGGAACACACATGATGCTCCTGTTGCTCCACAGCTTCGCAACTGCAACAGCATCACGCCTGCTTGACCAACAGGCTCATTGCTCAGTCTGCTCCACCGCACTTACGGCCTTACTGCTACTCTAGGCTTCCTCCAGATAGGAAATCTGGAAAATATTCTTCTCAAGGTATTAGCTGAATCATAGAAAAAAGGCAAGGACCTGTAGGAGCAGGTTCAGAGGAGGCCACAAAAATGCGCAGGGGGCTGGAGCGCCTCCCATATGGGGACAGGCTGAGAGAGTTGGGGTTGTTCAGCCAGGAGAAGAGAAAGCTCTGAGGAGACCTGTTGCTGCCTGCCAGGGCTTAAAGGGGCTGCAGGGAAGATGGAGAGGTATTCTTGGTCAGGGAGTGCAGTGATAGGACGAGGAGTAATGGTTTCAAACTGAAAGAGGTGAGACTTAGATCAGAAATCAGGAAAAAATTCTTTTCTGTGGGGACGGTGAGGCATCGGCACAGGTTACCCGGAGAGGTGGTAGATGCCCCATTCCGGGAAACACGGAGTAATGGTTTCAAACTGAAAGAGGTGAGATTTAGACCGGAAAATAGGAAAAAAATTCTTCTCTGTGGGGACGGTGAGGCATCGGCACAAGTTACCCGGAGAGGTGGTAGATGCTCCGTTCCAGGAAACATCCAAGGCCAGGCTTGATGGGGCTCTGAGCAACCTGATGGAGTGAAAGACATCCCTGCTCACTGTAGGAGGGCTTGAACGAGATGACCTTTAAAGGTCCTTTTCAACCCAAACCTTTCTATGACTGATATCTACACAGTTCCTCTCATTTTAAGGCATTAACGCTTCTCCCTCCTCACTGGACACAAAGTCTTGGCTCAGGAGGTGACACTATAATTCCATTTCAAGTAATTGAAAGCTTCTCAAGCCGAGTACTTAGTGGCAACGTTTCTAAAATAAACTTCAACCTTCAAAAGTCCACAGCAATCGCAACAAGTCGGTTCAACTTTTCCAGACAAACTAAAGTTAAAGAGAACCAAGCAAGAAATGAGACAGCTGCTGCAAAACAATCTGTAAATTTAACTTCTTTCTCTGTCTTAATAAACTCTGTAGAATAGTCAGCTTAAAAGGCGTCAGCACAGACGTTGTGAGTGGCACAGCTGGATCCAGCACAGCACAGCTGGAGCCAGCACAGCACAGCTGGATCCAGCACAGCAGTTGGCACAGAAACATCGAGATTTCCTACCCTCAGAACTTCAGATGGATCATCTTTGCAAATGCCTACACAGGGAAACTCTTCAACTGCCTGTTATTTACTGTGGCCCAGGCAGAGCATCACCGGTCACCCAGACCCTGCCCAGTCAGCTCGCAGCCTGGCTGGGTTACGGCTCCATGATTTCGCCTCTCACACAGGGCAATAAGCATTAATTGGCCTGGGCTTATACAGCGTCTCCTTCCCTACGACGGGCAATCTACCAGAATAATACGAAATGAGTGGTAAGAAGAGGTTATGAATTGTAAGCTACCTTCTCTTCATTAATTTTCCTAGCTTTCCCGCTGCAAATCAGGTTATATATTATATATATAACCGATACTATGATTCTGTAACCGCACGGTCAGTTTTAAGCATCAAATCACTGCAAGCTATTGGCTTCTTTTTGGATGGAAGAATTAACTCCCAATTAGTACTTTACAGCCTCGCTCTTGGTAAATTACCCATTCAGTAAGACAGTGTTTGCAGCAGGAAACTACATTGTAGTGACTTTCCTTTCCAT